ATTAGATTCATTATACCAGTTTTTGTCTGTTGGTACCAGAGCATTACATTAAGGCTGCTGTCATTGTGACTGCAGCGAAAATTGACTGTTTCTGAGATATTGACAATCTTCGAGGAGGTTTGCTGAAATTTCACACTCTTAGCTTGATCTGTGGGTAAAAAAGAATAATAATCAGACTTTAAGGCAATTTTGTTCAGTTAAAGAAAAAAGTAAATTAATATTTTTTTCCCTCATACATAAATGTTTCATAACTTACACTGAGGCAAGATGAGAAGAAAAAGGATCATCATTAACGGCATCCTGCAGTTTTTTGCTCCTGCTCCAGCCAGGATCTGTAAAAAGACACAGGTTCATGTACAAATACAGCTCCTACACAGGAGAAAAATGGGGGGGTTTTAGTTAGGGAGTGGCATTAAACCACATCACTGTGTGCTGGCAGCGCAGAAATAAACAGCCGAGTGGGACAGATCCGCCTTTGGTATCTTCAAAGCTCCTTCAACTGTGTTTTTTCTTGTGAGCAAGAATTCTTTTTCAAATTGACCCTCGTAGTTCTGAGATTTTTCATATCCGTATCCAATAAGGGTCATTGAGCTAGTGTCGCTTTTATGCTGGTACCAGAGCATCAATATGAGAGAGCTATCATCGTGGCTGCAAGTAATTTCTACCTCACTGTTCTGCTTCACTATGACAGGGGAGGACTGCTGAAACTTTGCAGCGCTTACCTGATCTGTAGAAATAGAAGCAGAAAAAAACCTTTGGCCCGTTTTTTAAACCAAATTCCATTTTTTGGATTCAAGGTTTTTGAATCTTACATAGAAACCATATGAAGAGGAGGCCAACCGTCTGTGTAGGTGAAAACATTGTGAAGCAATGATATGAAAGAAAGAACTGCACAGGGTAAAAAATAAGGGCCACCTACTGTAGGTCAAACTATCAACACATGCTTTTGATGGAGGTTGCATGTTGTGTTCTGTGGCTCCACCTGTTGGTTACTTAAGAGCAGGACAATTTCACAAACCACTGTTCTCTAAGAACCACAGCAAGGCTAAATTGACTGAAAAAAACATGAGTAATATTTTTAGGCAAGATATCTTTATTTTAATCTTATTCTACATTTATATTATGATTTTGAATGGTGCAAAAAATAGCATTGCAAATTTGTTAAATGTAAAAACATAATTGTGCAATTTTGGGTAAATTCTAACATTCACTCTACTTTGGTAAAAAATCCTATATCAACATTTTTATTCGGTATTAGGCGAGTGTGCTGTGGTTGTTGGAAACTTCAAAAACTCACTATATGTAAACTTCTAAAATTTAAGTATTTAACAAATTTTTTGGTGTTTATTGACACTGACGTCTGCTGACGTCAAGCAGTTTGTTTTATAGCTTATTGTTGGGCTCATAACTGTTGGATATGTGATATGATCTCCCCCCCCACATGGTTCTGTCTGGTTTTGTCTTTAGTCCAAATATTAACATTTGAAGCAGGTGTTGAAACAATCAGCATCCTCTCTTCGTTGTGTGTTTTTGTCACACTCCTCGGGTTTGCTGCTGCACTGTGAGACTGGCAGCACACAGATACACAGCTTCATCTTTTTTCTGAGGGCTTGATATAGTCAGAGACCATTGCTTCTTCTGCCGCACCTCCGCCTTATATCCAGAATTAAAATCTGTCTCAAACTTAGCATTTCCAGCTAACAGATACACAATTAGCTGAATCTCTCCACCTCTAAGCTGTCTGTACCAGTACAGATATTCATAATCTGTATCGTTTTGGTAACAGTTTATTTCTGCAGGTTCATCGACAGTACTGTAGATGTTTCGGGGCCACTGAGAGATCAGGACAGACTCGGAGACACCTAGAAAGAAAGGGAAAGTACAAAAATAATGCAATTAGAACAT